CAGGCAAGAGCTTTTAGACTAAGCGATGAGGAAGCCACAATTAGCATTTTTCCTATGCCAGTTGAATATCTGAAATTTTGCCACCAAAAAGCATTTTTGGGAGTTTTTTCGATGTTTTGCGAAATGTAAGATTACTTATCACTGCATTATCAATTTACGTGTTCTTGTAGTCGTTGTTCTACAGAAAATGAAATAATTTCTGATGCTTTAATATATCAATATAAGACATTGGAATATCAAATTTACAGTGATTATAAACAGATTTCATTGAATGATTTATTTACATTCAAATCAAAATTATCATTGAATAATTGGTTATATTATTCAGTTTCTCAACTCATTTGTACTGTAGCCGCTGATTCTTCAGTAGATTCCGATAATAATCATTATCATACTGCAGTTATTGAATGTGCACTACAATGTGTTGAACATTTAAGAAAAACATATTTACAATCTCCTGATGCACCGACTAATGAATATTATTCGATTTTTCTCGCTGATAAATATGAACAATTAGCTGATTTTCTCCCTTCACGTGATTCACAGAAAATAAGCAATTATAAAGAAGCCATTAAAATTCGAAAAATTTGTCAAGGTAAATCAAAGAAAATCGACAATTTGAATGAGAAAATTATTCAAGTAAAGAAAACTGCTTCAGACAATTGAATATGATTATGATCATCTCTATCATAAGATGTATTATTCTAGTGGCACTCAACTGATAAAAGAGAATATCGCACGAAAACGAAGGATTCATGTGTTCTAAAAAGGAAACATCTGATGAGATTGAGTAAACAATTTTTACCGATGGATTTTACTATTGAATAAATTTGGTTGAATTTCGTTCTTTAAAGTTCAATATTTTTTTATATATTTGTCAGCAAACTCCCCCATAAGGAGATTAGTTAACTGTTTCATTGTGTAATACATGATTAAAAAACTGCAGGGAAAATATTGCTTTATTAATATTAATTCTTAACAAATTAATTGAGAATGCTAGTAACGTTCTCCACCAGCACTATCATTCACTATCAGAACTTTCAAGACTCATAGAAAGTTAGCGATCTGAGAAGGTTTTTAGAGCTAATAGGGAATCTTTCCTCACTCCCTAGACATCAATTCTCATATAAGACTTGGACAGGGACCTGGTAATGATCTTGCCAGCTTCTTATTTGCTTTTGCTAAGAGTCTTATATAAGAAGTGGCACAAAAGTTGCACTAATTAAATACTATGCACCACTTATAACAGAAGTTCGAAGCTGAAAAAGATGTTGTGGTAGAATATTACATGATGGAAAAGAGATGGAAAAAATGTCGAGCAATATTTGTGCATGTTCCTGATGTACTGTCGATTTAATTGCTTTTCCGTTAGAAAGAGCAAACTTTGAACTTCAAAGAATATATAAAACAAAATTGTTTGTAATTGAGTTTGAGAAAAAATATAACCCTTTTTGAAAACTAAATAGATGAGAATGTCGTCTGCGCAAAACTGTATTGACCCATCTACGGTCGAGAATTTCTCATTAACTGCTTAATAGTAAAAATAACGTATTACAAAAGTCAGATTTAGTAGAAAACTGTACTTTTCATGAGAAAGGCATGACATTGAGAAAATTTGTTATTCAGAACTCAAGATATGTCATTAAAAATTAAAACTAATGTGACCTTGCAGGAAATTGAATGCTGTTTCGGAAAATGTGTTTTAGCAAAAAAACATAATTTCAAACTTACTCTGCTATAGTGAAAAAATACTTTTGATGAGAGCGATACGTTTCCAGAGAGTGAAAGTTCCAAGAGCTTTTTGGGCGGCGTTTTGTATTTAGATTTCTTCTCACTCAAACTCAATTACAAACAATTTTGTTTTCTATGTTCTTTGAAGTTCAGAGTTTGCTCTTTCTAACGGAAAAACAATTAAATCGACAGCGCATCAGGAACATGCACAAATAATGCTCGACATGTTTTCCATTTCTTTTGCATCGTATAATATAAAGACGCGATGTTTATCAACCTTTCGTCGAGATCACATATCTGAGTCCAAACATCAAGATAAATTTATCAGACTTATTCGAAATCAGATACACGAACAAAGTACAAGAAACCTAAGGGTTCTCTTTATCTCTACGTAAAATTTTGGCTTTTTTCTGCTTTCATTTTTCTAGTTGTCGAGCATGTTAATAAAGCTCCATTTCTGTCGGTTACTATTGATTCAACGCCGGACTGTACAAATCATGAAATGTACTCCGTTTTCGTTCGATATGTTGAAGATTTTGAGGTAGGAGAACGACTGGTGGTCTTCGACGTACCCTTCGTACCCCTACTACTGTTTACAGAATCGTTTTTAGACAACAAGTGAAGTGGGCCGATTATCAGCCTTATGTGACCCTCCCCCCACAGTGGGCATTTTTTGCTAGAGCAGGCGGACATGTGGTCTGAAAGCAATCCAGACCTCTACAAAAAATTTTCCTTAGAGGTTTTCGGGTGTGCTATTTTTAAAAAAGTGGTTTTCAAAGATAAAAGATGCTTTTTAAGGAGTTTTCTGGAGATCCGGTCTCTGGAAACCCTCTTAAAAACCATTTTGGAACTTTGTAAAGCTCCTTTTTGGAATTAGCGTACACAAAAACCTACAGGAAAATCTTTTATACACCTCTCGGCTGCTGTTAAAATACATTTTTTTAGGCCAATTAAAAATTTTCATCGCTACGGCTTTTTACAGGCAAGATTTTTTGACAAAATCCAAATATATCGACAGCAAATTTTTGACTCATACATCATTCGATTCAGTTTTTCACGCTGATTCAAAATATGACCTTACATTTAAGAAAAAGTCCTCTTACGGGGACGAAAACTTCGAAATACCTTGAAAACCCTATGGGTTTTAGAAAATCAATAACTCGACTTTGACAAACATGATAATAGATTAATATTGTTATGCATTATAATGCATGAAAGCATAAAAAACAACGTAAAATGTATGAAAAAATTCGACATAATAATTTGTTAAAGACGAGATCTGTTATGCTAAGCCGTTATAATCTATTATTTATGCATTAAAGGTCATTCATTTATGAAAAGCATCTTTTTAATCCATTATCGTGCTTCAAACCCGCATTAAGTCTCAAATTGGAGCACATTATAATGCATTACTAAGCGTTAACGCGCAATAATGAGGATTCTAGATATTTAATGCGATATAATGTGTTACT